GCAGTGGAGAAAGTGATGTAAAAGGGACTAGCCTGGCCTTTTCAATGGCCCATTAACAGTGGGGATGGGCAGGAAGCTACAGGCACCTATTCTGTCTTTTAAAACATGTTTCTTTCTTTTCACATCCGGAGAAATATTCTGCCTTTTCAATATTTCCTAGGATATTTCATTTTTCTGGGAGAGGGCTGGGTGATAACTTCCCACATGATCATGTGGGGATGCTGCAATGGTTATAAGTGTGAAAAGTGGATTTCAATGTGAAACAGTTACTTACTTTCCCCAAAAAAACTCCCCCAAGGGAGAAGAAACCTTATAAGTGTCTGAGGTGTGAAAAGATGTTCACTCAGAGAAGTAACCTTGTCGTACATGAACGGACCCACACAGGGGAGAAACCATATGTGTGCCCGGTGTGTGGAAGAGGATTCAGTCAGAGCGGTCACCTTAAAACACACCAACGATCCCACACGGTGGAGAAACCGTATACGTGCAGGGAATGTGGGAAGAGCTTCAGTTGCAGCAGTTCTTTTATTTGCCATAAAAGAATTCACACGGGGGAGAAGCCGTATAAATGCTTAGAGTGCGGAAAGGACTTTAACTGTAGCAGTCGCCTTGCATCTCATAAAAGGAAACACACTGGAGAGAAGCCATATAAATGCACGGAATGTGGAAAGAAGTTTTCCTATAAGGACGGCCTGATGAGACACCAACGCACCCACACTGGGGAGAAGCCATATGCATGCCTGATGTGTGGAAAGACATTTAGTGGACCATCTGAGCACAGAAGCCACGAAAGAATCCACACGGGGGAGAAACCCTACGGGTGCGTTGAATGTGGGAACAGCTTCCGGAAGTACAGTAATTTCACTCACCACAAAATGGTCCACACAGGAGAAAAAACATACAAATGCCCGGAGTGCGGAAAAAGCTTCACTCAGAACGCGAACCTTATCAAACACAAAAGAATCCATGTGGGGAAAAAACCATATAAATGCGCCAACAATGGGAAAAACCAGTCAAATAGTCTTTCGCAACACAAATCCACAACCACAGAGAAACCAAAACTCAGAAGCTTTCCTCTCTAATGTTTTCTTCTAAAAATGAGACCCTTGTGGGGGAAACTATAGAAATATGGGGTCTGTGCAGAAATATTCAATTGGAAGAATAGACTTATCAGACCTAAAGGATATCACATTGACCAACTTAAAAATGCCCTGAGTGAGAAAAGATTCAAATGGCCCTTTGGATTTAGGCCCTTATTTCCCATAAAAGATTTTATTTTGGGAGGAACACCTCAAGTATGTACAAACTCTTGACTATCAGGACTGGCCCTAAAGACACTTAAACATGACTTGCCTATCACCCCAGGACAGATCTCTACCCCAGGACAGATCTCTATGGCGTTTCTTTCATGAGTTTCTGTTTCCCTGCAAACGACAAAACAGAAGTTTATGAAAGAAAAAGGTCTTATCTCTTGCCGTGCTGCAGATGTTGGGATGCCCAAACATCAGCATACCTAACACCTGTGAAAATCTATGAAAACAACTTTGTGTGTGTGTGTTTTCATAGATTTTCATGGGTGTAGGTACGCTGGTCTTGTTATATTCGGGTCTTTTCCCGTGTAAGATTGAGATTGTCTTGGCAACGTTGCCAATCTTGGCAATGGGAAAATACCATGAATGAAGGTCTAACATGAAGAAGGCTAACAGGGATTATCAATGAACAGATTAACAGAGTTGGAATCAACTCCCATGAGGCTGGGGGAAAATGTTTAGCCTTGTAAAAAAGCCTCCAAGAAGAGGGATATAGATATGGGGATATAGAAGTATTTGATGAGGTGCCCCTCAGAAGAGAGGAAAACCTTGGCCAGCACTGTCCCACAGTACAGAATAAGTGTGACAGAATACAGGTGAATGTTACACAAATGTCATGATAATAATGTAAAACTGACCAATGCACAAATACCTCAACGGACTCCAACCTTAATAAAGACAGATATATACGTCCTTCTCTCCAAAATCTTTTACTTTTAGCCAACTCTTCAAATATTTGGCTGGAGTTCTTCGTTAATTTAATTGTTGAATTTATTCTTTTCCTCCTTTCCAATGGAACATGCTATTTTCTGGGGCTGTTATCTTTTTTTTAAAGTGTAGATGGTTTTCCTTCTTTTTGGTATCCTAAATCTCCTAGCATAAGTGAGATGCTTCTATCTATAACTCATTAAACGATAGGGTTTATTTGCCATCCCGTCCATCTGGTCAAAGCCACGCCGTGAGTTTGTGATACCGGTGGCTCTTGCCCAGTTGTGGTTTGATATGCCTTGTCTAGTTTTGGGGGCTCTTCTTCTCTTTTGTCCCTCTTGCTTAACAAATGTCTCACTTAGCCGCAGGAACGTTGGCCTCAGTTGTGGTCGTAAGTTGAGGACTAGCTGTACTGGGGATCCTGACTTTTAAAAGACCTATAAGGAGCCCAAAGACTCAAATGCAGGTAGTCCTCGACCAACAGCAGTTCACTTAATAACCATTCACTGAATGTGACTTACGGCCATTTTTCAAAGTTACAACCTCCCCCGTGATCAAAATGAAAGATGCTTGGCAACTGCTTCATACTTAGGATCATTGCTGCGTCCCAAGGTCATGTGGTCCCCTTTTACAACCTCCCGACCAGCAAAGTCAATGGGGAGCCAGATTCACTTAACAACCGTGGTACTAATTTTATCAACTGCAATGATTCGCTTAATTGTGGTGTGGAAGGTAGCAAAACGGGTCGCAAAGAAACATCTGACTTGGCCAAGGGAATGTTGGGCTCCATTATGGTCATAAGTCGAGGACTAGCCGAGGTGGCAAAGTGGTTAGAGAGCAGTACTACAGGCTACTTCAGCTAACTGCTAGCTGCAGTTTGGCAGTTCAAACCCCACCAGGCTCAAGGTTGACTCAGCCTTCCGTCCTTCCCAGGTGGGTAAAATGAGGACCCAGATTGTTGGGGGCGATAGGCTGACTCTGTAAAACTGCTTAGAGAGGGCTGTAAAAGCACTGTGAAGCGGTATTTAAGTCTAAGTGCTACCGCTATTGCTGGCTGTACTGGGGGGGGGGGGAATCCCCTCCTCTTTCCAAAGACCAGAAAGGAGCACGAAGAATCAAAAACCCAGCTTGAGCAGGAGTGAGACGGAGCATGCGCAAGAGGGATCTTTGACAAGCAGGGGGCTCCTGCGGGAAAGAAGGTGGGGGGGACAAGCCTTCGAGGACATGTTTAAAGGGGAGGATCAAGAGGGGGAGAGAGAGGCCGGAGGAGCCGTGCCTCTCTAGGAAGGAGTTCTCTCTCACCCGTAGCACCAGCCTCCCGGAGGAGTGCAGGGGGGGGGCGTTTCGCACCTGCATTTCTCCGGATCGCTGGGAAGCGCGATCTCGCTTTTCCCGGGGGAGGAGGAGGAGGAGGAGGAGGAGGCGGGGAAGGTGAATCTGCAGCGGAGCGGCTGGGCGTCCGGAGTCTGGCCGGGCAGGGGAGGAGAGGAGCGGGCTAGAGGCGCGGCGGGGCATCCCGATGGAAGGAGGAGGAGAAGGAGGTCGGCAACAGCGCCGTTGAGCCCCAGGAGAAGGAGGAGCGCCGGGCCGGAGTCAGAGCCTCCCCGAGGAGCCGCCGGGCTAGAGGCCGAGCGCTTCCGTTGCTTTGGGCTGCCGAGCCTCGGCGGGGTCTCGGGCGCTGTACAGTCGTCTGCAGCAGCTTCGCCCCCAGCTCGCTGAAGCCCCGAGAGGAGGAGGAGGAAGAGCAGCCGAGCTCCCGGGGATGAAGGAGGAGCGGGGATGGGGGATTCCGGAGCGGATCCTGGCCGGGCTGCCCCCGGAGATGGCTGGCTGGCTGCAGGAGGGCCGGGTGGAGAGCTGCTCCCGGGTGGCGGCGGCCCTGGCCGGAGGCTTCCCGCTCAGCTCTCCTCCGGCCCAGGAGGGGAGGCAGGTGAGGGGGATATTCCCTCCCGGGATGATCTCCTCGTGGTGTGGTTTCCTTTAACTTGTCCTCCACCTCAAATGCAGGTGGCAGGTATCAATAGAAGAGACTTTGTTTTCCCTTCCCTTTCAGTCCCAGAGTCCTGTTTCCCCATCCAGTTTATTCCACAGGAAGAATAGAAGTAGAAGTAGAATTCTTTATTAGCCAAGTGTGATATGACACACAACGAATTTGTCTTTGATGCATAACCTCTCAGTGTGCATCAGTGGTAGTCAACCTGGTCCCTACCACCCACTAGTGGGCGTTCCAGCTTTCATGGTGGGCGGTAGGGGTTTGCTGTA